CTCATGGGTAATTCGAATGTTAGACAGTATGGATCTGCAATAGGCCGGGTGCATTTTATTTTTTTAAATACCTTTATTGATTTCAGAGAGAGGAAGGGAGAGGGAGAGAGAGATAGAAACATCAATGTTGAGAGAGTCATTGATCAGCTGCCACCTGCATGCCCCCCATTGGGGATCGAGCCCACAACCTGGGCATGTGCCCTGACAAGGAATCGAACTGTGATCTCCTGGATCCTAGGTCGATGCTCAACAGCTGAGCCAAGGCAGCCGGGCTGGGTGCATTTTCTTCACACCTGGTGTGAATTCTGTGCTCATACTGGGAACCCAACACAGCCAGTGTTTATTGCTCCCCATTATCCTCTCCAGGGCAAATCCAATGTGGACAGAGAGTATGTATACACTAAACAGGTTAACACCTGGTGTAAACCCCATATCTGGGCAGCAGAAATTTACTACTGACAGAGCATACCCCTCTCCACCCTAGTGTAAACCCCCCTTTAAAAAAACCTCGCTCTCGCAAGATGTGAACACCCACGAAGTGTAGCTCTCCACGGAATGCAGTGTGAAGTCCCACGAAGTGCTGCATTTTCCCATTTCGTGCCCCCATGCCTAGGAGAGCTGTCAGACAATTGCACTGTCCTTAAATGTCAAAGTCTTGGAGAAGGGAACTAGTCCCCAGGGTCCCCAAATCCCAGGCAGCGAGCGTTGACTACACTGCAGCGCGCGCCACCCCGCACTTGCACGTTCTCTCCCCTCCCGGTGGCAACAGGGCTTTCCGCGGGGCCGCGCCAGACTTTCTAAGGTTGTTGATTGGTCGTATCCCGGCCGCCCGACAGCCAATCAAGCGAGGGAAAGGTGACATCACTCTTTTTCTTCCCCTCCCCCGGCCCCAAACTTTCCTACTCCCGACTACCAGCAGCAAAAACCACGTGGGGGAGGGGCAAGAGAGTAGAACCTGGTGAGGTCATTGCACCGCCCAGGACACTGCTGATTGGTCGCGGGGCTTGAGGGTGGCGGTTGGCTGTTCCTCGCACCTCCCCCTCGTGCCGCTACAGCCGCTGCTGAGAGGAGCTACCGGCGTCGCCAGAGCCGGGAATCCGGGTGAGTCGGGGCCCTGGGTCTAAGATGCTCCTGGTGTCCAGTGAGACTCACGAGAAACTGCCCTTTTCGACTTTTTCTCTTCCTCGGGGTTCTTTGGTGCTTCAGTCACCCTGTCACATGGGAGTTGTAGTCTGCCTTGTACTGTCTACTATGGGCCGGAGACGGAAGAAGACTACCATTCCCAGCAGGAATTGCGACTAGCCGGTCAACAAACTCTCAGGCCACGCCTTCTATGCCTGCTCATTGGAGAGCCTGTCCATTAGCCCCTCCTTCTTGCACTTCATTGGCTACTGTCCCTCATAGAGCTGGGTTCCGGCTTAGAGTGCAAAGCGACTGGGTACTGTATTCGTCATTCGGCACTAAGACTGCCTTTAATTGGTCATTGCTGGTGTCAATCACTGGGTGGGGGGCAGGGTCCTAGGCATATCAGGCAGTCGTAGGCTCAGGTTGGTGTCGGTCCCAAAGGGAGGCCGGTCTTAGACTTTGGCTCCGCCCCCTAGCGCTGCCGTGTGGGCGCGATTGGTGGTGAGGAGTGTCGGTCGTCGTCGAGAGGCGGAGCTGACCAGGCTGCGAATAGCTATTGGTCTAGGACGGCGCCGGTCAGCGGGGTTGTGGCCGCTGATTGGCTGGTTGCTCCAGCTGTTGCAGGTCCATTCACCATTTTGTGTGTTGGAGTAAAAAAAAA